TAACAGTCCCTGATCAAATTCCTTGATTGCCTTAATATGGTCTTTTAAAACAATTTGTTTCTGATCACAGGTCCAATCTAGAATCACACAACACAGAAAGTGTGTTAGGAGGACAAAGATATAGGGGTAGTAGGACAATGGTACTGGATTGTGGCAAAAATCCAAGGGCAAATTGGGCTCTGTGGAAACAGGCCACCCTAGCCCATGCTCCTTTTTGCGGAGGTGGCACAGGATGTGAATATTCCATCTATGTTTGTGCAGACACGCCAGCAGGGAGGAGGACAGGCTCTGGGGCCGGCGGGGGGTAGCACTCAAACCCCAAGCCCTCCACTTAACCTCGTTCTTCAATTCCCTCATGGGTGATACAGGGATAAATGCAGAATCTACCTCATAGGGCTATAGTGAAAATTCAATCAGTTCTTGAAAAGCACTTAGAACAGGATCTGGCACAGAGTAAGAGCTTAATAAATCTTACCTATTAGTCCAGGGGTGGGCAAACTTTTTGACTCGAGGGCCACAATGGGTTCTTAAACTGGACCGGAGGGCCGGAACAAAAGCATGGATGGAGTGTTTGTGTGAACTAATATAAATTCAAAGTAAACATCATTACATAAAAGGGTACGGTCTTTTTGTTTTGTTTTGTTTTATTCATTTCAAACGGGCCGGATCCGGCCCAAGGGCCATAGTTTGCCCACGGCTGTATTAGTCCCTTTCCTTTGTTACTTAAGAGGTAATGTAGCCAATTTATTTGTGGATGTAGGGAGTGGAAGGGCATCAAACAGCCCACCTTGTTTCCCTCCCTTGCAGATAGTCCCCACTCCTTCTGTCCCAGAACAAGTAGTCTGTTCAGGGGTTGCTAAAGTCAAAAATGAAGAAAAACAATAAGGATTTTCTGTTTTGAGATAGTTTCTCAATGGGAAGTCCAGGCTGGTGATGGTGGGGTGTTCCATGGCCAGCTCCAAGGAACCAGAAACTTCCACGATGGTGCCTGACACTCCTGGCTCTGCCATTTGACATTGCTTCCATCACACTGGCCATGCTTCAGACCCTGCGGTGAGTAGCCACCCTGTCACAAAGGCACAGCTGAGAAAGGGAATGCACACTGCCCTGGCCGGGTAGGTCAGCTGGTTAAAGCATGGTTCCGAGATTAGGGGTTCGATCCCCAGTCAGAGTGCATACAAGAATCAATCAATTAATGCATAAATAAGTGGGACAACAAATTGATGTTTCTCTCTCTCCTTCCTTTCTCTTTAAAATCAATTTTAAAAGGGGTGGGTGGGTGGAGGGAGGATGCATACTTTCCAGACAAGGAATCTGAATCTTAGAGAGGGAAGAACCCACCAGAGGTCATACAGGCAATAAAAGGCCTGGCCATCATGCTCTCTATCCTGCCCCATTAACATCTTTCCTTCACCTGGTCCTCTAGTCTAAGGAACTTCTAATATAGGAGAGGTACATGAGAATTACATAAATTACCTAAAGTCAAAGTTAAGTCAGGGGCCTCCTACATGTTGTTTGACAGAACTTGGCTGACCAGAGATGCAAGTAGACCACAAGGAGCCTCTGGAACAAAAATATTCCTGCAAAGACTGATTAATATCTACTCATCCATACCTTATCATTTAGCCATACCATAAAAGAAAAACAAACCACAAAATATACCTTGTAAAGGTTAAAGTTAATCCCATCTTTCCACTCTTTATTTCCCCATACCAGTAATTTTCCATAGAAACTACAAACATATATTAGTAAGCTCAACCTCTGGAGACAGTTGGGGGTCTCTCTTCCTTCTCTTTTAAGGAGAGTCCACCACCCTGCCTGTGGAGTAGCTCTTTGTGCTTGTCCTCTCTGCTCAATAAAGTTGCTTCCACCCTAACCTCTTGTCTGGCTTGTATCCTGAATTATTTCTTGTGCGAAGCTAAGAACCCTCTTAGCTCGGGTACCCTTTAGGAACTTGCCCCTCCGGAATCTCCACCAGCCCTTCCAGGCCACCTCCCCCTGGGAGCCTTTCCAAGCTACTCAGATAGAGCCTGTGCCCTCTGACCTTGCTCTGCATCCCCCACCCCACCTCACCCCACGAACCTCCCTCTGCCCAGCCCTGAGCTGGGAGATCAGTGTCTGGCTCTGGGACCATCTCTGAAATCCTTCCAGATCTCCTAGGTCCAGCACCAGGCTGGGTGGGGGACAAAAGTCTCAATCTAGAACGAATGAGAAAGATGGTGCCTGAGGATGGTCATCTGAGAGTCACCTGGGGAAAAGCCAGGGCCAAGAGAGGGTCCAAGGTGTTGTGGGGGAAAGAAGAGAAACAGCAAGATCCCATCTGACAGCCAGAGCTCTGCTCAAGAGCATGGTACATGGAAACATCAGAGGCTTTGAATGATGCCTCATCTTCCTCCACCCTTTACACCCACCTTTATTCAGGCACTATCCTTCCCAATGGGTGGCCTGGCCTGCTTCCTCCCAGCCACACTCTGAGCATCGCCACAAAGAGACCACCTTCTTACCTGATCAAAATCCTGCAGTGGTGTCCCAACCCTCTGAAAACAAAACCCAGTGTCTTTACCAGCTCTTTTCCTACCTAGACCTCCTCACCTGTGCCTTCCTGCCTCTTTCTCATTCGTCCCAGCTATCCAAGGGACATCCTTCATAATCACTCTGGTTAGCAGCCCCCGTCTCCTTTCGCATCTCTTTTATTATTTGAATATTATCTCTATCAAGAGCGACACGGTTCATTTATTTATTTGCTTGTACGGTGTCGCCTCCTCCCCAATGAAACTTAATCTCCATGAAAGCTGGGCCCAATCCGTTTTATTCTTCACCTTTTTCTCACTGTCTAGGACGGAGCCGGGTACGCAGCAGGCACTCCGTACACAGGCCTGAGCCCGCGGAGGCCAGGGGAGGGGGCAGTTTTGTCCCCCGGCGACTTCTGTAAGAGTCATTCCCCAAAACCAAGTGCTCAAGGACTGTCCACCGTCACCAGCCCGACCCTGCGGCGCCCACTCCCAGCCCCGCGCGCGAGGGGTCCCGGCGGCTGCAGTTTCTCACCCTGTCT